CTGCTCTTCCAGAGTAGGCCTGCTTGCTCCTATGGGGGAGAGGTGCCACTCATCTCATGCATGTTTGTTTGCTTGCATGGGGGAGCGCCTTTACATTTTTCATATTTTTAAATAGTTTAAGTATTTTTCATGTGTTTATTAGCCATTTCAGAGCTCATCATTCATGAAATATGACTCAAGGTTTTTTCCCATTGTTTTTAGAGGTATGCCTATCTTTTTTTCCCTTCAGTTTTGAAGATATTCTTTACATATTATGGATAACCATTTGTGCAGACATACACCAGTTTATGCCTTGCCTTGTCACTTTCTTTGTATCTGTTTTGGAGAAAAGTTCTTACTTAAAGTGATTAAATTTATTGATTTCTTTCATGTTTATGCTTTTTGTTTCTCATTTAAGAAGTCTCTGTACTGCATCATAATTCTTTACCTTTTCTTTCTAATTTTCTTGTAGTTCTTTAAATAGTGTTTAATTCATTGTGAATTTATTATATATGTTGTGAGAGAATGATCTGATTTTTCTTCCATTTATTAATATACTTTCATTTTCCTAATAATTTTTAATGCTAGACCTTTTGCACATCACTTTTTCATATACAGAGGGTCCCTAACTTACCAGTGTTTTACTTACGAGGTAGTGTGTTTGGCAGAAACTGTGCATCGAATTTTGGCCTTTTAGTGCTGGGTGAGGCAACAAACCACAGCCTTGCCTGCCATGCTGCACTGTAAAGTGTGTTATTAAATGATGAGGGTTGCTATGTTAGATATGTTCGATGCATTTGGACTTATGATATTTCCCAGTATTTATTATTTACATGCAATCTCATTGTAAGTTAAGGATCATCTGTACACTTGAGTTTCTTGTGGTTTCTTAAGTTGGCTTTATTCATTTATTTTCATTAGTTTTGTGATGTCTTTGTAAATTGCCCAACCTTGATGTTTTAATTTAGGTATGTCTTGGCTATTCTTGCTCTTTAGTTGTATGGATATAGTGAAGTTATTATATTTGTTTTATCCATGAAGTACTTATATATAGGAATATATATAGGAATTATGTATTGTTTTATGATTATATATTATATCTTTTTAAAGTCTTTTTCTCTTGAATTTTTGTCTCATTTATAAAAATTCAGTTGACTTTTATATACAGTATTTTGGCATCCAGTAGCTTTGCCAATGTTTTATTAGTTTTAATATTTATATTCATTCATTCATTCATTCGCTTTTCTGTTTTTTTGAGACAGGTTCTTGCTATGTATTTCAGGCTAGCCTCAAACTCAATCTGTGGCCCAGGCTGGCCTTAAACTTGTGGCAGTCCTTCTGCCCCAGCCTCATGAGTACTGTCAGTAGAGCTATGCACCAGCACACTCGACATGATTTCAGATTTATTGTACTGCATTTATTTGTAGGATTCTGCATAAATAGATGAAATTTTCTTTTTCTATTCCTATGTAGTCTTCTTTCTTTCTTCTACCTTTCTTCTTCTTTTCTTTGTCTTTTAGAAAGTGTTGTTTTATTTTATAATCCCAGCAGTTGGGAAGGTGAGGCTGGAAGACTGCAAGCTTGAAGCCAGCCTTCGCTACATGTGAGTTTGAGGCTGGCCTGGAGCACTTAGTAAGATGCTGCCTAAAAGTGTTTAGGATATCAATAAAATGTTGAATGGGAGTGTGTTCAGAGTGAAACTCTTTGTATTACTTCTAACCATAAAAGGAAATGCTTTTAGTGTTTTAGATTAATGATGCTTATTATATATTTTTTGTAGATTTCCTTTATGAACTTCAGAGTTTCTCCTTCTATTTGTATTTTCTCAAGGTATTTGAAAAATCATGGAATTTTAAAAATGCCTTTTTTAACCTTTTGAGAAGACCGTATAGTTTTCCTCCTTTAATCTATTAATGTTATAAACTTCATAATACATTTTAGTATTTTGTTACATTTTGGCTAGTTTTGCATTAGTCAATTATTTATTGAAGAGATTTAAAAATAAGATAAAAATCATGTATTTATACAACTGTTTATCATTTCTGGCATTACTTAACATTCTTGGGTGTAGTGTCAATCTGCTGTTATTTCCAGATCTTTACAACCCTTCCTCATAGTTTTATCACAAATATCTCTCAAAGTGCTTAGTAATTAATTCTTGGATGAATATGCTGTAACCTCAATTGTGACCTAAGAAGTAATTCCTTTGGAGGATCTCTTATATTGTCTTCTGGTTAACCATGTCCTCTTTTAAAAAAGTTTTGATTAGTACATGTATACAGTATGTAATTTGTACATTCACTATGTAAACTTGGCACAGGTACATAACACATTTTAATTCCTTTTCTCATCCCTTTTTGCTTCCTTTCTTCCCCTGTCCCTCCATTTTTGATCCCCTTACCTTTTAAGAAGGATCTATCTCCTGTCTTCCTATTGTCTATCTTTTATTTTGCTCTTTATAATTTGAGTTTCTTATGTAAGAGAAACCATGTGATATTGAAGTTTGTGTGCCTGATTTGTTTCACTTTAACATCAGTGTCTCAAACTATGTCTTCTTAGATTTTTTGGCTTAAAACTACTATACCTTTATCTGTATAAGGCAGAAAGATAAGTGTTGAGGCAGCAAAACTTTTCTGAGCTTGTCATAGTCTAATCTTCACATTATTCTCTAATAAACCATTTTTTTCCTTTTAAAAATATTCATGATAATCAATAATGCAAAATAGGAAGAAAAGGTCCAAAGGGGTAGGGGTAGTGGGAGGGGCAGGGGAAAGGAAAGAAGGGAAAGGAAAA